ATTCTCTTTTGTATAAAAAAAAGGAAGCACCTCTAAAACAATTATTATGATCATGTCGAGATTTCGTTTGCTAATTCCTTTATATCACGCACGTAAATGATTAAATTTTCATTACCACTGAATGTTAACATAAATAAAATTCCACGTTTGTACCACGCAAAGAACATTATATTAATTATAAGCGTTACAGGTCCCTGTAAAGTTTGGTGTGGATGTTTGGAGAGTGGGGTACAAAGCTAAGTATTCTTCTTGTCACTCATACGAAGTTCAAAATGACGAGTTTTGTCGTCAATAGCCCCAGCGCAGTTTCAAAGTGCGATGTTAATAAACAAATCAAATCAAACCAATAATTACCGTCACAACGTTTTCGAAAATTTTGTAACGAATTGTAGACTTCGAAACAGGTAAAGAAGCAGATTACACTATGATTATAAAAAAGATGACAATCTATCACACTTTAAACTGACGCAAACAAACAAACATTAGGGTCGTCAGAGATTGAATAAGTACTCAATTTGAAAATAAAAATGAATTTACTAGACATTCAAGATGAAAAACTGAAAGCCTTGAATTTTTTATAATCATTCCATTAGCTATAGGAATGAGATTTACGTACGTTAAATTTCCTAAAAATACTCTCACATTTATTAAAATGTTTCATCTTTCCCAAAGCGTAAAATATGAAATTCTTCGGAAGAAAACATTGTATTAGAAAATATGTTTCTCTTTCTCTTCGGTGGGATGAAATGAAAACGCTTCGTGGCGTGGTTCCGTCCAGGATGTAATCTGAGACCTTTCGCGTATGAAGCGCGAAAGTGATAACCACTACACTACGGAACCGCACAAGAGGAACAGAACGTCTTGAATTAAAGAGACTTATTTAAAGCTTGTACAATAAATTAGATATCATTGTCATATATATTATGCACGTGATTAAAGAAAGCGTACAGTAAAAATAAGAATTATCCCCTCGCGTGAATTCCATAGCGTATTCAACCTGCAACGCATTCCGTGGGATAAAATCAAACACTCCGGCGTGTGGTTCCGTCCGGGATCGAACCGGAGACCTTTCGCGTGTGAAGCGAACGTGATAACCACTACACTACGGAACCGCACTA